AGGAGGGGAGAGAAAGGATTTAGAATTCAAAAAATATAGAAATGAACGTTAAAATTATTTTTACAGATAATTGAGAAAAATAAAATAAAAACATTCTCTCTCTCTCTCTCTCTCTCTCTCTCTCTCTCTTTTTAAAGAAACAATCAGTATTGTTAAGGCAAATTAAGATTTTTTTGCCTGCTCTTTTTTGTCAGGAAGCAAATGTCTGGATGATTGAAGCCTCTCATCACTATTATATAATTTCTCATTGTTTGGTTTGTGATATGTTTCCTAAGTTCCTCATCTGGTATCTACAGTCATCATCCTAGGAAGTAAATCCTGTGGAGAAACACCCTGCAGACTGATCCAAGCAGGTGCTATAGCCACATGTACTAAAGGCCCATACAAGAAAGTTCTTGTCATCAAAATCCTTGGCACTGTCAGGTGATTCAACATCAGACACTAACATCAGTGGACATGACATTAAAGAAAAGACATTACCATCTGCTTTGCTGTTGTGTGCTAAAGAACATGGGATTTTTCCATTCGATTTGTAGCTAAAACTTCCCATAAGGGTTGTCTCCCTCATTAGAATGCTAGCTTCCTGAGAGCAGAGATTGTCTTAATTTTCTAATTGTATCCCCAGTATTTGTATCACAGTATTTTGTCCATGGTAAGTGCTTAATAAATATCTCATTAATTCATTCATTCATCCAAGTGGTCTGTAATATATGTCCATGACAAAACCACTTTTGTTTCTCCCTCCACCAATCTTTACTCTCTCCTCCATCCCTGTACCCACTCCTGGTTTCAAGTTTTCCTTTAATAAGTATATCTTCTTAATACATAATGCTATACCACACTCTCTGACCTATTCTGTTTCTATTATATAAGTTCCATCCATACAGAGTCATATTTTAGTCTTTAGTATCATCCCATCAACTCTCAGAAATCTGTGAGTTTACATCCTTTCATTAGGGCATCTCGTGTCTTGCTTGTTGCTTAAGCTTTGTTTATAGATATATAGAATTTGTACATAGTATGTGGGAGTATATAGAATAATAGTGTTTAAAGTGGCCCCTTCAGATTCTTTAAAAACTTGTGTCTGTGTCCTTCTCTCTATTTATCCCTATTTATTTATTTGGATGGGACCTGGAACTTTGATTTCATTGCTATGGAGAACTCCCAGGTGACAACACTCCTACTAATCTGGTTGACTCTTTCTCTTCAATTTATAGCTTCAGAGTTGCCTAGAGCACCACATGAAAAAGTGACTCGTCTAGGGTCACATCGGCGTATATGTCACAGGGAGAACATGAACCCAGGTCATGCTACCTGCCAACTATGTGTAAATATATGTGTATAGAACATAAAGATGTTTCCTTCTTTTTACAATTTTCTATCACTAATTGAGGTGAACAATTTTCAATAGAAATATTTATGATACAAATCCAAAGTAGCATTAAACTTTAAAATGCCATATATTCACACCCCTAGTTCACTGAATTTAAAATCACATGTAGATAGGAGATGTGGTCTTTCTAATTCATCCTCCTCAGTTTCAATCACTGCTGTATTAACTATGTATATGTAACTATATATACCATGTAAACACATGCACATGTGTGTATTTGTATATGTATATGTATATGCATGAGTATATATATATATATATATATATATATATATATATATATATATATATATATATATATATATACACATACATACATATATACATGTGTATATATATACCCTAGATTAGGCTTGAGGATCAGTAAGTTGGAGGAGACAGATTTTATTGCCCACTTTCTGCTCTCTCTCCAAATCATGTGTTATTCTTGGCTATTAATCTCCTTTTTCTTCCTATAGGCAAGGTTAGTGGGACAGAAATAGTTTTGGCTGGCAAACCTCCACATAAGTCAACAGCTCCTCAGTTACCTTAGATAATGAGAGCCAAATACATTTTGAAATAGCTGATATGAAATAATATCTTAGTGGGGAGGAGGATATTTGAATAGAGGACTTGAAAAGAGAAATTTCTAAGATGTAATGCTGCCTATTTTGTGTATAACCTTGCTGTACTCTCTTAAATTTCCTGCCTCAATTTCCTACCACAGTGAAGCCTCTAATGTGGGGTAAGTCAGAATTAACCTGCTTATCAAATATTAAAGTTGTGAGATCTAATGTTTAGTGGTTTTGGGTATCTGAAGATATGAGCATATCTGATTCTTTTATTTTGAGCCATACTTGTGATTTTCTGGGTATAGGAAATTCCTGGTGTGGAGCTTCCCTCCACTAAACTTAACTATAATTTTTTTCTTATACTTGTCTGGCACACTGATACCTAATATGTGTCAGAGGCAGGATGTGAAATTAGATCTTTCTGTGTCTAAGACTGTCTTATATTCACTTTGTCACATTGATTCTCAAATATATCTGTATTCATATAATAATGAGCTATAGCAATTTTCTTTGGTATGTAGATTAGAGAGTATTTATCTACTTCATTGACTCATAACAAAAAACTGAAAACCTCAAAAATTGAAAGTTCAAGTAAATGGAGAAAATATTTTAGTTCTTATGTTTACACATACCAAATGTTATTCTTCAACCTATAGAAGACATCCCAAAGAATATTGCTTTTAAAAAAATAGCCTTTTCATAAAATTCATTATGAAAACTATCATCTCTAGCTGGCAGGGGTACAGAGTTTGAATTAAATCTTTACTAGATAAAATAAAAAGCAGGTTTACTCATAAATGACTTTTTCTAGATGTACCTGGAGAATGTTGCCTTTTTCAAAACTATGACTTCATAGAATTATGACAAAAGGAAGAAGAAAACAATTTTCCTGGAGGCAGTCACATTTTTCAGTATTATACTTTATGTGTATTCCAATTCTTTTAAAGTTGGTAAGTAATGTATGAGATATTTCGGAAGCACCATAGCATAATGTATAGAGAGCCAGAAAGATCTGTGTTCAAGCCCTGCCTCTTACACATATAAGCTATATGACCATGGGGAATTCATTTAACCTATCAGTCTATCAGACAGTTCTAAGATTATCATTTGCGAACACATTGCTCTGTCTTGGTAAAGGGAGTAACACACCGAGAGGAAACTATTCAGCTAATGTCTGGGCCAAAAATTCAAAACTTAAAAAAATAATGATCATGACCATATGATATGTATTTTATAACATTTTTAAGAATTATTTACAACTTGTCTAATGCTACTAAGAACCGGATTATTTAAGCTTACTTATTTATTTAATTTAACAAATTAAATAAACAAGATTTACTTATTTAATAAGAATGCTTATTAAAACGTAGGTCATATCAAGAGAGAATGAAATTTAACCAAACTTATTAAATTTCTCTCTGGGTATTTCTCATCTTGAATTCAATGGTATGATTGTAATCTGAGAATTATTGTTATTATTTTTAGGGAAGTAGATCATCCTCTCATTATCAATAATACAACATTCTTTAGCTTGTCAAAATTCTCCTTCATTACTACAACTGTTCCAAATGCAGCATTTAACTGCAAAAAATATTTGTATTAAACTTGTCAATGGATTTAGTAATTGAATGCCCCATACTTCTTCCCTTCCCAAGATTTGCCTTGCTAATTATATTTTATTTTTGCTAATATTAGAGTTTTCAACCCTTGGACAACAAGGGAGAAAGGCAGCAGGGAATTGACATGGAAAACTTATTTGGTATATGAGTTTAATGTGAATAATTCATAAAATAGATGAAATGCAACATAAGACAAAAGGAGTTGATTTGTCAAAATGATATTTACAAACATCCTAAATGCTTGTTGTTGTTGTCATTGTTGATATGTGACTTTGGCCATATTGGTGTTTTTTATGAAGCTTCCTATAGCCATTTTTCTAAAGTAAAAATGTCCAATGATTTTGCCATTTGCTGGCTTTCCTTCAAGATATTTTTCTTCAGTAAAACAATAATTTAGTTAATTCCCCATAGAATCATCCTGATTGGAAATGACTCTTCCTGCCAACCATATTTAATGGATTTTTTCCCCCATCCTTAGGGATGGCCAAATGGCACAAATCCACTACTTCCTTTAGAGTTAAGTTTTAAACTTGGACCCTGCACCCAAAGTTTTTACTCAAGTAAAAGCTTATCTGAAGACATGGGGCAAATTTTAACTTCAGTAAAAGCTTTGCCTTGTTAAGCATTATATTAACTGGGTGTTCTACTTACAGTTTTTCCTCTCCTTTCTTAGGGCTATGTGACAAGTGCTGGATTAAGTATTACAGATGAAGTTTTACAAATTTTTTATTTTAGACAAATACTAAAACTTAAATACATAATAAGAAAAGAACAAGAAACATTATAAACTTAAATATAAAATAAGAAAAAAACAAAAAAAATGTCATGTGCACAGCAGAACATGAGAAGATTCAAAATATATAGCAATAACTTTTCATTTCAAGAAAGCCTATATGTTAAACACTGTGCATTGTGTTGAAAGGTGTCCATCTTTGCTTCCTTGTAGGTTTTCTTTTGTTCTCTGCTGTGCACTTTTTACTTTGTTCTTTTTTTCCCCTCACTCCCCCCTACTCACTACTCCAAGGCTACAATTGAGCATTGTATATATTTATACATAGGTATTGACACACACACACACACACACACACACACACACACACATACATACATATATAAACATATATTTCCCCTAAGAGATTCTAGTCCTAAATGTTGTGCTTGTGTTTGTGCAAATCTTTTTTCCTATCTCTCCTAACTCCTCTACTTTACTTCTACCTGCTACCTTACCCTCCTATTACTTAACCTACCCCAGACTCTAGCAATCCCTGTTTTATCCTCCCACTCTTATACAGATGCAGTTCTTGCATTAAAAACTCTCATTTGCATTTCCCCACTATATGTGTAAAAGTATTCATTTTTGTACTGAATCACTACAAGTGTTTAATGCTGCCCTCATCCTCATTTGTGATGGGAGACAATGTGGCTTGAAACACTTACCAGTAGGAATCCTGGAGGGGAAGGAACCTCCTCCTGAAACTGGATGCGTAGCTGGGATGTTATTTAAGAAGCCTGTCCTCAAGAAGCTGGGACATAATGCCTCCACCCCAATGGATGGGAAGGATCCTTTAAGAAATTAAGAAAAAACTTGAAATTTATCAAATAACCTGAGTTTTATTTTGATTGCATGATATCAGGTGAGTAATCATAATAAGGTCTAAACTCAACAAATGCATCATTATATATAAATAAAGGGTGAAGCAAAAGAACTGAAACCATGTTTTATATGATTTTGTTAAATTAGTTTAATTTATGTATATATACATATACCATTTATATGTATATGTATACAACATGCACAAATATGTATATATTTTATTTCTATTTTCAGTTCCAAATGTTTCCCCTCCATCCACCCTTCCCCCACCCATTGAGAAGGCAAGAAATACAATACTTATTACGTATATATACATAAACATATTTATAAATGTACATACACAAATCTCTCTCTCTTCTCCCCTCCCACCCCATCTCAAACCAAAGAACAGCTAGAAAGAGCAAGTCTCAAAGGAAAAGTTTGTTTTCTTTTCTATATCTCAATGTGGAACATAAAGTTTCTGTTCCATAAAGACAGATTTTCTTGGGTGGGCAGAACAGCTATAAATGATGTCAGAAAATTGGTGTTCTGGCTGCAAAATTGATATCTTTCTGAATTAGAGGTATGCAGGTCCCAATCATCCCTAGGATCTCAGGTCTCTCCTGTAGAAATTTGCCCCAAGGCATACTGAGATTAGTGCTTCAAATAAAGAAAACACACTTGTGAGTGGATATACTCATGATTTAGTAATTACATGCTTTTTCATAGCCACTAGAAAAAATAATACAACCACAGATCTAGAGCTAGAAGGGATGTCAGAAGCCATTTAGTTCAGCTCTCCTACTTTATAGATAAAGAAACTAAGATCCAGGAAGGGGCTAAGTGACTTGCCTAAGCTTATAATGAACACAATTTTTTATTGCTTGTCATTTTCCTGTTAGGGTTAATGTACAGAGAGATTCACAATTATCCAAAAATATAACAATTTTTGCTTCATACTAAAGGTATTTTAAGTAATGTGGACAATATTCTTAAAGTGTCACTAAAGATTTTATTTTTAAAACCAAAAGGGAGTTGAATATTTTTCATAGGTTTAATAAAATGAGTAGAATCAAATAATTTTAGACCTGGAAGGGCTGTTGGAAATCATCTAATTCTATCCTTTCTATTTTAAATAGGCATAGGAGTCATGGTAGTGGCAACATGTGTTCTGCTCCTGCTCCAGCCCCCAGAGCTATCATTCAGGGAAGCAACTCCTGTTGAGAAGGGGCCAGTCATCTCCACCAGGTGCAGAGCAACTACCACACAAAGGTCAATTAAGCCAGCCCAGCTGGAGAATCAAGGCACTCTGAGGGAAAGATAGGAGGTGACATGTGTCAGGCAAGCCAAACTATCACCACTACCACCGCTTTGACCACCATCTCCCCTGACATCAACGGAAACACCTAATCCAAGAGTCTTAGAAATGGCAATTCTTTTCCAGCACATGGCCTGGAGTCATCATTCCAGAAATAACCCTTACAGAGGTGTAAATTGGTGACTGGTCAAACAGGTGCTACAGCCAGGGCTACTGAAGACACAGAAAAGAAAGTTCTTACTTATAAAATGTTTGGCTCAACATCTGAAACCAATATGATTCAATCAATGGAAATGATATTAGAGCCATTACCATCTGCTTTGTTCTAGGGATCATGGGAAATTTTCATCTAACCTGTAGCTGAAACCTTTCATATATGTTATTTCCCCCATTAGAATATAAGCTGCTTGAGAGCAGGAACTATTTTGCCATACTGTATCCCACTGTTTTGCATACAGTAAGCACTTAGTAATATTTCATTCATTTAATTGTTCATTTATTTGTAATTCATCCATTTACAAAGGGGGCAAACCAAACCTTAGGGAAATGAAGTGATTTTTAAGCATGTATAGTTAGTGGCTGAGCTGAAGGAATTTGTGCTCTCTGTACTACAAAACAGGACTGAATTCTATGTTGTCTTGTTGAATTGTTTTCAATTATACTTGACTCTTTGTGAGCCCATTTGGGGTTTTCTTGGCTAAGATACTGGAATGATTTGCCATTTCCTTCTCCAGCTCATTTTACAAAAGAGGAAACTGAAGCAAACAGGGTTAACTGATTTATCCAGGGTCATATAGCTAGTAAGTTTCTTAGGCCAGATTTGAATTCAGGAAGATGAGTCTTCTTGATTCCAGGCCTGGCCCTCTATCTACTATGACACCTATCTGAGTTCTATGGGGAATTCATAAATCTATATTGTAAATTGCAAGCTTTGCACTGTATGATTCAAACTTATTACTAATTGATATTCTAATGGTCTGAGAGGACTTCCAAAATACTCAGCAAGTAATTTAAAAAACATCATATTTAGACTCATATTTAAATAACTAATATAGATTATACTTATGAATAATGTCATAACAATTATCTAAAAGTTAAACTGACTTTAAAATACATTCATGGGCACAATTAAATCAATCAAATCTTGCTCATAATTGACTAAATGAAAGGGATCACTTCTACTGAGCACACTGAAGTTGATTTCAATGGCTTCTGTTTTCAGAGAAATTTGTATGCAAAAGGAGTCAAAAGATATGTTTTCTTTTTTAAAAAAATTTATTTATTTTTAATTTTCAAAATTCACTTTTATAAGATTTTGAGTTCTAAATTTTCCCCCTCCTTCCTCTCCCATGTCCCCAAGGTAGAATGCAATGTGATATAGGCTATCCTTGTATAATCATAATAAACATATTTCCATATTAGTAATGTTGTAAAAGAAGAATCAGAACCAAAGAGAAAAACTACAAGAAAGAGAAAACAAAAAAAAACAAAAAAAGAGAAAATAGTATGCTTTGATATGCATTCAGACTCCATAGTTCTTTCTCTGGATGTGGTTAGCATTTTCCATTTTGAAGTCCCTTGTAATTGTCTTAGATCATTGTATTGCTGAGAGGAGCTAAGTCTTTCAAAGTTAATCATTGCACAATGTTGCTGTTACTGTGTACAATGTTCTCCTAATTCTGCTCACTTCACTCAGCATTGGATTACATGGTTTTCTAGGTTTTTCTGAAATCTGCCTGCTCGTCATTTCTTATGGAACAATAATATTCCATTACATTCATATACCATAATTTGTTCAGCTATTCTCCAATTGATGGCCATCCCCTCAATTTCCAATTCTTTGCCACCACAAAAAGAGCTGCTATAATATCTTTGCACATGTGGGTCCTTTTCCCTTTTTTATAGTCTCTTTGGGTTGCAGACCTAGTGGTGCTATTGTTGGATCAAATGGTATGCATAGTTTTAAAAGATGTGTTTTCATAGAAGAAACTTGACACATCTAAAATTATCCTCTTTGGAAGAATATCCATAGAGTTTTACATAGTTGAATGCACCAACTAGCAAAAGTATAGAAACTCATGCAAGATAGATAAGAAATTTTTTTTCTCCCTAAGAAACATGGTCATCTATTTATAATACATAACACTTATTACTAATAGCTCACATTTATGTAGGTTTATTAACATCTATAAATTTATAGAATTTGTAAACCACATTCATAAGGTTTGTAAAGTACTTCCTTCACAGCTATACTGTGAGGAACATGGTGAAAATATTATGCTCATTTGTCAGATGAGGAAACTGAGGCACTGGGAAGTTAAAAAATCATGTTATTTCTAAGGATTTGAGGCAGAATTTGAATCCAGATTTACTGATATATTTGTATACATAAACATATGTATAATATATCATTATATTTACAATATAATGATATATACATATATCAACTTAATAGTGAATGATCATTAGAATAGTCCCCTTTGGAAGAATAAGAACATATGTAAGAGATCTAGGGAAGACAAAATATTCTTCTTCAAGGAATACATAATTTAGTCCTCAGCAGAAGTCAGAAAGTGCACCAATACAACTTTTAGTGGATAAAATCAGAAGAGAAGAAGCTTGATGTAGTGGAAATAGTGATTTTGGACTTAGAAGACCCAAATTTGAGTCCTAATTTTTAACACTTATTAGTTGTATGACTCTAGACATTTAACCTCTGTGTCTCAGTTTCATCATCACTAAAATGGGAATTGATAATATACTACCTCCATCAAAGGACTGTTGTGAGAAAACCACATTGTGTACTATAAAAATCCATAAAAAGTAAGTTATTCTTATAGCAGGATTGTGAATACTTTTACTCATTGAGCACCAACTACATAATGCAATCTTAATGTAAACTCATAACTTATTTTTCCTACATGGCATTCTTGAAATTATCTATCTATCTATCTATCTATCTATCTACCTACCTACCTACCTACCTACCTACCTACCAACCAATACTTGGTAAAATGTTTAAGATAGACTTTCAATTACCACATAGTACAAATTCTGATTCAGTATTTAGAAAAATTCAACCTTTCAGAGAAGGGAGTGGTGTTACAAGAGAGAGAAGAATTGAAAAAAAATCATCACCAATCTTTATCAGAGGCAGTAAATGTAATAATGAAGCATTTATATCAATTTGTGATTTCATTGCTATTTTCTCCATAAGTATATATCAGACAATTTATATGTCCTCATTCTATCCACGGACTTCTGTCCATATTTTCCATATGTATTTTATATTTAGAGTCAGAGAAAAATATTAACTTTGAAATCAATGTGAAAGAAAATCAGTATTTGGAAAAATGTTTCCTTAAGAAATATGAAGAAAAATAAATTAATAAGAATGTCTCTGCATATCATTGATATTATTATTAACATTGATGTGCAATTAGGAGTATAATTTCCTTACAAAACTTTGCTATTTTGTCAACATTTTCAGAAGTTTTAACACGGACAAATGCTTACTTAAGCACCTTTGAAAAAGCAAATGCAAGTGTTATTTTTATTATTATAGTTTTTTTGCTATTGCTGTAACAACCCATTGCATTAACAAAGCAATTTTCATTATTCTTAAATTTAAAAGATTAATAATGTTTTTATATGTTTATTGTGAGTAAAAAA